GGTGATATTCTATTCAGAACACAAAGATATACAATACATCATTTGACAGATGAAAATCTTGACTTTCTATTGGTTATAAGTAATATATAATGAAATGTAAGAGAGAACTGTCAATGAATTGTGAAAGGGAGGATGTGACAGGTTGGTGTGGCAGGAGGGGTCTGATTTTCTGTTCAATAGATCTATAACCAAACAAAATTAAAGACTATAAAAATTATGGTTTGTCAGAGCAATAACAGCTTTATAGAGAGTAATTTACATTTAATTTCGTACTTTTTCGAGGGGTGGTGGATAAAATATGGATCATGACAAGCTAAGAGAAAATGTGTCACGTGGGTCACACTAGTGGAAATTCAGGATTTTTTTTTCATATTGCCTTGTAGAATTAAGAACTTAAAGCTTATATACTATTAAAGTATGGTATATATATTATGCTATTCTAATTGGTATAACATAAATAAAAAGTAGTTTAATAAAACTTTGAATGTAAGACACTAAAACCTTGTGCCTTGCGCAGTAAAGGAAACCCGAGGTGATAGGGTTAAGTAGTAGTTGCAGTATTGTGTTCTATGTGGTGTAATGGCACATAAATTATTTATACTTGTTTGTATCTAAAGCTTGAGAAAAAAATCCATTGATTAAGCTTTAGACAATTTCAAAATCATAGGGGTACAGCTATTGCTTGTAGCACAAAACTTGTTTTTTGATTAAAGGTCAAAGTGACAGGTTATAATGGAAACTGTCAGGTCAAAGAGTTAATGGTATTTGATTGCAGTGTACAACTACAATCCTTCTATTTTCTTGATTAATCAAGACTCATTGTAAAGTACTAGGCAGCAACTGTAATGTAAGAAAACTTTTTATCCTTCATTATATTTTACTGCTAGTGATATATTCCCATACATGTACATCAAATAGTTATATTACATAAGGTATAATGAATCTGTTTTAGATTCTATAATATTACAGTGTTATGAAATAAATTTAAAATGCTGTTTCCAAAACACACCTCATCCCACACTTTAGCTTTATCTTGACAAAAAAGTTTTCTTCTTTGCCCATATAAGCATTGGTATGAATTCTATCTTGTTAACTCCAGTCTTTATGCACCACTGTATCACCTCTAGTGATTTTAATCTTGTGAATTTCTTCACCCACGTCAATATGCCCTTTATACCCGATCTGTATACAAGTTCCCCCATTATTCTTTCTTATTCATTTTTTCTCGATGGCAAAAATTACAAAGATGATATTACGCATTTACTGTGGATTTCTCTTCAGCACTATTACTACATTTCCAATGTTTTCTTCTGAATTATTTAAGGTCTTTTAATGGGGCTTGAGTTTATTGTAAATTTTCTTGATCTTATGAAAAAGTAAATAGATTTTTTTAAAGATGTTTTTGAATATGAATACTCATGTTCTTGTCTCAGACATGGAGTCGCATGATGCCCTTCTTTTACCACCTCACAAGTCTAACGTTACCTGGCCATTGGGGGGGGCACCTTCTATGGAAATCATACAGTTCCTTATATGCAGAGAGATAGAATCTTACGTGTGGTTTGATGCCTTTTCTCCTGTTGGCTCTAAGGCTGAATTTGTGGGAGATCAAGGGTGGACTTATGAGAATTTAGACTATTTTTCCAGCACCTTCCTTTGCTTAGTCAGTTACTCATGAACCTTGGATGGAAATCCTGCCTCTTGCACACTTTTTTTACAACTAGTATGCCTTCTTTGTAATGTTTTGAACATTTATCCTGTTTTTCTTATGAATCTTCACCTCCTTTATTGGGAGAAACTAGTTTGTCTGATTACCTGATCCTTCCACCTTCGCCAGACATTGCTGTTCATGCAAGGAGATTTGCAGATCAGTTGAGGGAGGGTGCTGCCATTTCTCGTTCTCCTTGTTTATTGGATCAGCATGCCTTGCCTTTCCACTGCCTGGAGAACCCTTATTTGGACTCTCAGAGGTTATACCCTCTACTTCCTGTTTGGGGCTCTAAACAAGATGCCACTGTTCATCTTAATCTCAATTTTCCAGAATTTATTTGTCGCAACAGTTTAGCATTTTTTATCATCTTTCAGCTGCTGTCTGAGGCCTATCATAGCCCCCTGCTCAAATTTTGGAGGATCTTAGTCATCTATTGACTTCCATGTTGTCAGTTTAATGGCTTCTGCTCTCCCCGTGGTATCTTGGTTGGTTTGTTGCTGGGATCTTTTAGAAAGAGATGCCTTACTAGAGGAAGTTTGCCTTCATACATCGGTCCTTAGAGATCTCAGAGAAGCTCCTTTTCTCAGACAATCTATTCTGCTCTCCCTGTGGTATCTTGGTTGGTTTGTTGCTGGGATCTTTTAGAAAGAGATGCCTTACTAGAGGAAGTTTGC